CACGACACCTTGGCAATGTAATTAATGTGGTCAATATAAAATCACATGGAACACCTTGACAATGTATTTAACACCATGAACATTAAATCGCATATTAATAATATAAGGGGATGTTTGACAGGTTGGATAAGGGGATTAGAATTCATCGGATTTGAATTCTGACACCGTGAATCCTCCAAACTATTTGGTTGGATTGAATGTATATCCCGGATTTGTTTTCTCATGGGATTATATGTCTAGAAATGACTATTTTTAGTGAATTCAATATTTGGTTGGACAGATTGGAGGGAGATTCTATTTGCACATACGCATTCCTCTTTGTGCACATCCTTCTTAGTTCACACACCTAAAAATATATATATATTTACTTATTACACACATTCCAGTTATATCCCCATACACACAACTTTCCAACACTCCCAATCCATGCACCTTCCACACCAGCAATCACCTTGCCGGCGGCGACGTAGCACCACCGTTACCACCTCCCTTTCACTTCCAGTTGCCATTCTCACCCCCTCCTCCACCATTGGCGACACTACCGCGACCCTCACCTCATCCCCTCAATCTCTCTCTCTTTGTCTCTCAGTCACGAAAAGGGGGTTTCGGATGTTGATGGTCAAACCAATGTGTTTTGTTTGGATGTTGATGGTCGAACCAAATTCATTGATTCGATGGTTGATTTCCGAATGGAGGCGATTCTTTCGATATTGGTAGTTCGAATGACAAGAAAATGAGTCTTCTTCCCAGATCTAGGTTCCAGGATGCTTCTCTCTCTCTTTCTCTGCAGATTGAGGGTAGCGAAAGGATGGGAGTTGCGACGGTGGTGGTGTTACGTTGCGAAGTGAAGGGTTACGGAGGTGGTGGGAAGGGTGAGTGAGCAACGAGTGACGGGTGAGGAGGGGCTTCGATTTAAGAAAAGAGAGGTTGGGGGGAAAGATGATGGAGGAAGGGATTGTGTTGAGGAAGGGGACGACCGGAGGGGGGAGGGACTGTGTTGGGTATTAGGGTTAGGGTTAGGGTTTTGGTTGAAGAAGAAAATGATATTTTGGCAATTTTATTTTCGGATAAAAATGTAATAAAAAAAATATCGTTAAGTGTGTAAAGAGAGGGGAAGTGCTGTGTGCAAATAGAAGCTCCCTGGACTAGAAAAGGATAAATGATCAAAAGACTATTTTACTATTTTTAATTGTTTACTAAGTAATAGCAATATTAAATCTGTCTTTAAATTTAATCTTTATTTATAATTGATTAGCTGACCACAATTAATTGTTTAATTTTTTTTAATATTTTAAACAAACATTTTTCCAATAGTTATATTTTTTAATGGTTACATTCTTTCAATATAAATAAAGCCATTTCCCTTCTAATTTTTATCCAACACAAAAAATAATAATAATAATAATAATAATAATAATAATAATTTGGTCATAAACCACCGCGATTACTGCCGTTGTCATCTGATCAAAGATCCTCGCCTGAGATCATGAGTTGGTCGATTTGTCGAGCCATCGCGATGACCTGGCAGCAGAATATCCATTGGCTTTTTTTAAATTATTTTTTTATTTGTTAATAGAGCTAAAACTAAGGCCAAGTTTGGGAAGACTAAGCCTCCGTTTGGGAAAAAAAAAAAAAAAGCATCTCACCACAAACAATCAGCAGCAGTAGCATCCATTAAAAAAAATAACCAGCTATGCTTTTTCAAAGCTAAAAAAAATAAAAATAAAAAATAGTGACCCAATACACACCAACAATAGAGGAAGCAAATGATACATAATGAGGGCAAAATAAGCTTTTTACGATTTAATCCCATGGAATTGTTATTCCATGAAAATTGTCCCACACCCCCTCCCCCAGTATAATCCCATATATAGAGAATAAGGAGTCCGACCGGACTTTATATCCAACAGACTAAAAAAAATGAATAAATGCCGAATAAAAGAATTCTAATGAATTTTAATCTAATCCCACACCCTAATTCTTCCAATCAAACACCTCCTAATATTACTTGAGAATGAAATCTCACCTTTAATGTATGATTTCATTGAGTTATTAACCTTCCCGTTCCTTACTCTTTTCAATCCGAACAACCAGTTTTGCTTCTCTCTTCCATTTTCTTCACTCTCCTTTAATGTGTGATTTCATTGTGAATGTGTCATCCTACTATGAAAATTTCACAATTTCGTCTCTTCTTCAAATAAATTCTCTTGACCTTATTTACATTCAAAAAGTTTATAAATAATTTCATATATCAAAATAATGTAACAATGATAATCTTAAAAATACAAATTTTCACTAAATACAAATTATTCATTTGATAAAGTGTTATTTTTAAAGTGATATGACTCAAGGCTGTCACAATATTCCATCGAAAACATTCCTTCAATGAGGTAGAAATAGGAATCTGAAGTCAAGTTTGTAGTGATAAAAGCAATTAATAATGTTGAACCAAGATGGTTAAAAATTAGTTTTTTCGTTTTTTTTGACTTTTTTGAAAAAAAGTGTAAAAGTTGTGAGAGATAATGTAATCAAAAATAGGTTAAAAGTTGAAAGATGACTTTTAACCATCTTTTCAAAATAGGCCAATGTTTTTTTTTTATTTTAAATTTCTCTTTAGTACAAATTTAAACTTGAGAATTAAAAGAACCCAGCGCGTAAGACTCACCACAATTTTTTGATGATTCAAATGAATATTTACTTGAATTATCTATATTATTATATTAAATAAGGATCAATTTTAATATCTTAAAACTTCTGTCATGTAAAAATTAGATAATTAAAAAAAAAAAAAATTCACCCTGACGAGAAAGCTATTTTATTTCTAAAATCAAAGACAATATAATGCATGCTCCACCTCTACAATCACTAAATTATTTTTACTATTTTTTTCTTCAAATTTTTTTTTTTTTTTGGTTTCATCCTCTCTACTTTATGGTTTCTCTTTTCTTTTTCCAATGATTTTCTTTTTCAAAGAAAGTACAAAAATATTTGATGCAATTATGACAAACAAAATACAAATCTTTTGTTTCTTTTTTACAGTAAATAATTTAAGACTTTTCAAATTTTATATTCTCAGTGAAAGCTTTTATTTATTTATTTATTTATTTTTTGGATATAAATTCTATAATTATTCAAGAGTCTTCAATTTTTTATATTGCCAGTGATTGAATATTTTATTTTTTTAGATATAAATTCTATAACTATTTAAAGTTCACGGCTTTCAAAATGGGTTTTGGTTTTTTGTTCTGTAATTTGTATTATTACTTTTTTTTTTCTTTTTTAAAGTTGTGTATTACTATTGTGAACCCATCCAGAGGAACCGGGAAACGAGAGGCTCATTTACTGGAATTATTTAATTTTTTGGGGTTCAAACAAATCGAGTTTGCTTATGTCATTTCTATTCTCCAGAATTTGGTTTTATTTTTTTATTTTGCTTTTTGTATTTTTTTTCCTTTTCATTTTTTGGAATTATTTAATCTTTAAGATAATATCTATTGATCTCAGGTTAATGTATTAAGTACTTATATGATTTGTTGTGATGAAAAAAAGAAGTAATTATAGATTTTTTTTTTTTTTTACAGGTTGATTTATGGCATTGTGCTATTGAGAGCAGATAACTTTTGAAGTGGTTGTCTCAGTATACTTGGTTTCACTTTTTAAAAAACACTTTTCAGAAAATTTTACTATCTTATTTTTTGTGTTTTTTTTTTTTTTTACTGATTTTTAAAAATATTTTAAGCAATTTTTTTTAATTTTTAGGCATACCTAACTTAACTGTATCTAAAAAGTAAAAAATTTGTGAAGAAAACCTTTTAAAAATTCACTAAATAGCCAAAATACAAAAAAAATACAAGAATTTAGTACATTTTTTGTATTTTTATGTATTTATTAATTTTTTAAAATATTTTTTCACAATTTTTTTACTTTTTAGATACATCTAAGTAAGGGGCATAAATAAAAAAAAATGTTTACAATTTAAAAAATATTCACTAAAAATAAAAAAAAAAACACGAAAACCAAAAACCTTAGTCTTCAAAAAACTTAATTCAAAAAACTCAAATCAAACACACAATTCTTTGACTGTAACTGTTCTATGAGTTTTTAGTTTATTTTTAATTATTGTTTACATTAAGTTTGTTTTTATTTAATACACCGTTTGTTTTTTTCCAACTATATAAAAGTTCAATCTAAATTATAAATTATCCTTCTTAATAATTTTTTTAAGGTATAAAATAAAAAATAACAAATAAAAAAAATCGTAAAGCATGTAAACATTATGATGAAAATTTAGGCTCATAGTTTTATAAAAAACTTTTCAGTTTTTTCCCACCATATCAAAATACAATCTAAACTATAAATTATCATTCTTAGTAATTTTTTTAGGTATAAATTATATTTAAAAGAAAAAAAAAATTAATAGGTTCACAATTATTATAAAAATAAAAATAGCATCGCGATTATGTAATTGCTTTTTATATGATTAACCAAATTAGGTGTTTTCAAGGCAAAATACTAAAATAACTTTTTAAGTGGTTATATAACAGTACCAATCTTCTTTCACAATAAGCTCATGTTTGATTCACAAGATTAATAGTGAAATATTAATAATCCTATTAAATTAACGTGGTATTCATTATCCAATTGGATTAATATCCATTGGATTAATAATCTCACCCCTACCCCATTACTAATAATCTTACAAATTTGTTAGATTAATTATCCATTGAATTAATAATCCTAAACCAAAATGTTAAAACAAATATAGGATAATTGGACTTACGGATTAATAATCTCAATCCCATGCTCTAATCCATCCAATCAAACATGCCATAAATGTTCTATGAGTGCCTGAGTCACTGTGCACCACTAGAACATACTACGCTAGCAGCCAAGGGTTTGTTCCACTTTAAAAGGGTCCACCAAATTGAATTGAATTGTAGGACTCACCCATCCATTTCCACCTCTAGAAGACTCTAACGACCTCCATAACCCCACGCAACCTCTCTTCACACCACAATATTGCACAACTCTCTTCTCTCTCTCCAAAATGATCACCACATGACTCAAAAACTCTCTCTCTACCTCCTCTATTTTCCATTTACAAATTCTCACTCTCATACTCATTGATTGCCACAAACTCTCTCTTAAATTTTTTGGCCACCATTTGCTTCAATGTCCATCTTATCTCAACACCACCACTCCCCTCTTACGTCCCTCCACTATGCCAGCCCGCGCCACCGCCACCGCCACCGCCAACACCTCCCCAGCCCCAGCCGTGTCCATTGCTCAACCACTACCACCACCACCACAACCACTACCAAACCCAAGCACAACCCTGCAAAGCTAGTCATTGAACCATCGCGGCTCCAAACACCGCCAATATTCAACGACCCAAGTCTGCAATCAACATGGTCTCACCGTGCTTGGGTGGCTTGCGGGTGCACTGTCCATCTTATCTCAACACCACCACTCCCCTCTTACGTCCCTCCACTATGCCAGCCCGCGCCACCGCCACCGCCACCGCCACCGCCAACACCTCCCCAGCCCCAGCCGTGTCCATTGCTCAACCACTACCACAACCAAACCCAAGCACAACCCTGCGAAGCTAGTCATTGAACCATCGCGGCTCCAAACACCGCCAATATTCAATGACCCAAGTCTGCAATCAACATGGTCTCACCGTGCTTGGGTGGCTTGCGGGTGCACTACCGTGCTTGTTTCTCTAGCAAAATGTGTCACCGCTGCAGCCAATTCACACATGTGGCTCGAACCCATTTTGGCTGGCCTGGTTGGGTATGTGCTAGCGGACCTCGGCTCCGGTGTCTACCATTGGGCCATCGACAACTACGGAGGCTCCACAACCCCTGTTTTCGGTTCCCAAATAGAAGCATTTCAAGGTCACCATAAGTGGCCATGGACAATCACACGGCGTCAGTTCGCCAACAACATACAGGCCCTCGCTCGAGCAGTTACCTTCACTGTGCTTCCCATAGATCTCGCTTTCAACAGCCCGGTACTACATGGGTTTGTGGCTGTATGTTCCGGTTGTATTATGTTTAGCCAGCAATTCCATGCTTGGGCCCACAGCACGAAGAGCCGCCTCCCGCCACCAGTGTTGGCCTTGCAGGATGCCGGAGTGCTTGTGTCCCGGTCACAACACGCAGCACACCACCGGCAGCCTTATAACAACAACTACTGCATAGTGAGTGGTGTGTGGAATGAATTTTTGGACGAGCATAAAGTGTTTGAGGCATTGGAGATGGTCGTGTTCTTCAAGCTTGGGGTTCGACCACGGTCCTGGACTGAGCCTAACTTGGACTGGGCTGAGGAGATAGAAACTCCTCAAATACTTCGCACTCCATTGATTTAGTTTTTATTCTTTTTCTCATATCTATTCATCTTGCTAAAATGCAAGGTTTGTCAATGGTGTTGTTCAAAAATTGGATGGAAGACACCCATTTTATCACCATACAATATATTGTTTTCTCTCACTATTTTCTTGATAATTATTTCTACACGATACAATATATTGTTTTCTTTCACTATTTTCTACACCAGAAATAAAGCACGCGGTGATACAATACTGTAACAAAAAACAGTTTGCAACATCTGAAGGCGGTCTTTCAGTAAAAGTAGGAATATTTTTCTATTGTTCAACAACAGCCATTTATGGTTAATATTACAAAAAGAAATGATGAATATATTCACTTAAAACATCTCATCACCAATACAATGATAAAACTCTAAATGACGGAAATATAAAATCTTACATTGTTTCAGCTCCTACATAAGCGGAGATAGAAGATACACATGGGAACCAATACCGTCGTTTGCCATCTCTGTGACCATCATCAATCATAGCAAGACCTTCCTGCAATATTGAAATGGTTTGTGAGGGCCTGATGTAAGTATATGTTGAGACAGCAAATGAAGTTAAAAGATGCAGTAACTTACGTCCAACAAAGTTTCAAGGGCATCGGTGGCACGACCAGAGGACCAGGACAGCCTTCTCTCTACCTCTTCAACCGTCACAAAGCCCTGAGCCTAAGAGAGCAAGGCCATTGAAATTATGATAACCATTATACAAGTTTAGAAAATGTTCTTCTATGTGTGAATGATGGCTATTTACTTTCCCAATTTAACTTTAAAAAGGAAGAAAAAAAAATTCTCTGTACACAATTAGTAAATCAAAGTCATCACCTTTTATATGAAAAGACAAGAACAAAAACTAGTGATAAAACCTTCAGCATAGATCAAGCTTTTTAGGCTCAAATTGAATCTACATATAACTAGTACAGTCTCACCTGTTTGAACACTAGTAAGATAGAAGACAAAAGAAATTCTTAAGAATTAGCTTCCGATTAACTACGAGCATTTATCAAATTAATAAGTGTTATCAAAGCTGCGTGTATATTTAAATGACCCATTCTTAAAGTAGCATATAATTTGGTTGGAATGAAAGGTTGTTGGCTTCAAAACATCCCTACCCAACCACTGGGGCTAGATCAGTCCAGATCTCTCTCTCTCTCTCTCTCCAGGGTCTTCCCGCTTCTCTCATGAATGTAGAGTAAGAAGAATAAAGTGCACATAATTATTACGTTGTGTTATTTCTTCTCCCTCCCCTTTTAGCAAGTATTGCTGAAAACATATACATATTGAGCGCCCCCCCCCCAAAACACCATCTTTCACAACTTTTTGCCCCTTAATTTCATATAATCTTCCAGTTCCCAACAATTCATATCACTTCTCCACTGCATTTCCTTGTTAAGAATTTTGTAATGGCACAGGAATACATGCCAATCCAATTAACGCAATCCCCCTAAACGACACAATGCAATCTAAAAAAGCATAATTTTGTAACACCAACTACCCTAATACATATCTATAGACTATAATTTGGAAAATTTATGTTCATAAAGCAAATATGCATTACCATCACTTTTGAGGAATACGAAAAGTTGCAAAGAAAACAAGATTCGACAATAAAGGTTGCAGGGGAGATTAGAAATAACCTGGGCCAGCTCTAAAATTTCATTGTGGTCTTTATTTAACTCAGTTGGAACCGACCGAACAAGCTTTCTCTTTCCAACAGAGATCACCTCATAACCACTACCTAATACCTGGAATAATCCATGCACTACAGGTCAGTATGCTATGCTACACAGCCAAGACGAAAGTCATTTTAACTAATCCAGATTCATATAACAAATCGAAGTAAAAAAAAAAAATGTTAACTAATTGTACAAACATAAATTTGAAAATTTACAAAGCATGAAGTGAAGAAACCTATCTACTGTTGCAGACTACTAAAGCACAATGGTGAGCTGCATGTTTTACAAGTCACAAGACGATTAGGTTCACCGAGATAATAATTTTAAAATCTATGGTTTCATATTTTTATCAGCATGAAGTCCAAAATTTTACATCATCATTTATATTTCACCAGAATAAGTTGATAACAGTGATGATTATATTGATCAAATTGATTGACTCTTGCTTAGGAGATCTCCTGGATTATATCGCATGGGCGCGAGAATTTTGTAAATCTTACATCCATGTTCTTACTGCATTCCCAGGAAAACCTCTCTTAGTACCCAAGAAATCAGTTATCTAATGGGAAGTGTTCAGTGATATATGATATTCGTTTTGCTACAGTCGCTAGTGCACATATCATTAGATATTTTGTTCTTAAATGACAAAATTAGTTAACAACTAAAAACAGAATTAAAAACAAAAGGCAAAATACAACCCCATTGGCCTCAACTCCTAAAATTTATGACATCTCTGAATCCATCCTCATCCGCTTCATTATCTAGAATCTATAACCCATAAACAAATAATAGAGGCATGTGGTAGTGAATGTAATGCGTCTACAAGCAGACTCTCAATGATCAAAGCTGCGTGTATATTTAAATGACCCATTCTTAAATTAGCATATAATTTGGTTGGAATGAAAGGTTGTTGGCTTCAAAACATCCCTACCCAACCACTGGGGCTAGATCAGTCCAGATCTCTCTCTCTCTCTCTCTCCAGGGTCTTCCCGCTTCTCTCATGAATGTAGAGTAAGAAGAATAAAGTGCACATAATTATTACGTTGTGTTATTTCTTCTCCCTCCCCTTTTAGCAAGTATTGCTGAAAACATATACATATTGAGCGCCCCCCCCCCAAAACACCATCTTTCACAACTTTTTGCCCCTTAATTTCATATAATCTTCCAGTTCCCAACAATTCATATCACTTCTCCACTGCATTTCCTTGTTAAGAATTTTGTAATGGCACAGGAATACATGCCAATCCAATTAACGCAATCCCCCTAAACGACACAATGCAATCTAAAAAAGCATAATTTTGTAACACCAACTACCCTAATACATATCTATAGACTATAATTTGGAAAATTTATGTTCATAAAGCAAATATGCATTACCATCACTTTTGAGGAATACGAAAAGTTGCAAAGAAAACAAGATTCGACAATAAAGGTTGCAGGGGAGATTAGAAATAACCTGGGCCAGCTCTAAAATTTCATTGTGGTCTTTATTTAACTCAGTTGGAACCGACCGAACAAGCTTTCTCTTTCCAACAGAGATCACCTCATAACCACTACCTAATACCTGGAATAATCCATGCACTACAGGTCAGTATGCTATGCTACACAGCCAAGACGAAAGTCATTTTAACTAATCCAGATTCATATAACAAATCGAAGTAAAAAAAAAAAATGTTAACTAATTGTACAAACATAAATTTGAAAATTTACAAAGCATGAAGTGAAGAAACCTATCTACTGTTGCAGACTACTAAAGCACAATGGTGAGCTGTATTTGCTTCTTAGCACAAGACGATTAGGTTCACCGAGATAATAATTTTAAAATCTATGGTTTCATATTTTTATCAGCATGAAGTCCAAAATTTTACATCATCATTTATATTTCACCAGAATAAGTTGATAACAGTGATGATTATATTGATCAAATTGATTGACTCTTGCTTAGGAGATCTCCTGGATTATATCGCATGGGCGCGAGAATTTTGTAAATCTTACATCCATGTTCTTACTGCATTCCCAGGAAAACCTCTCTTAGTACCCAAGAAATCAGTTATCTAATGGGAAGTGTTCAGTGATATATGATATTCGTTTTGCTACAGTCGCTAATGCACATATCATTAGATATTTTGTTCTTAAATGACAAAATTAGTTAACAAATAAAAATAGAATTAAAAACAAAAGGCAAAATACAACCCCATTGGCCTCAACTCCTAAAATTTATGACATCTCTGAATCCATCCTCATTCGCTTCATTATCTAGAATCTATAACCCATAAACAAATAATAGAGGCATGTGGTAGTGAATGTAATGCGTCTACAAGCAGACTCTCAATGTGTGTCCATAATATGCTATCAAAGACTAACATAAATCTTCAACAAAAATACCTTCAGCTTACTAATGGCACGCAAGCAATCATCCTCGGACACAGCTTCACGAGCACTCTTTCGCCTCTGACAAAGCAATTTACAGAGTTCCTCCAAGTTGATCAAACCCCCATTATGGGGTCTGGTACCCAAACAAATATCAACAATTTGCACCCCTGTCTAGCCGAGTCAATTCATGTCAAGTTTAGACATTACGAAGTGTTATCACAATGACAACAGGCAAGAAGTCATGACTTAAACATAATTGACAAAAATGGATTAATGGCGAAATTCAAAAACCATGCACATCATGCCTATCCAGATTATGTATAACAATCTGACATAGTTTCCTAAAACAAAGACCCGCTAAAACACCAGTAACCTAAACCCATGAATCTTGAAGATTAATTTCCACAGGCAACATTAAGAATTGCTTACCTCTTATCCATCCAATTCAACAACATGAAATCCATACCTTAATATACAATAAATCAGCTGAAGTCATCTGACAATTGAGAATTCACCAGCAGACAGACCATATATTTAACTCATGATTATGTATTTTCTAGCTAATATGTAATTCCATTGGTACATGGACTGGGGGTAAATGCATCAGGTGCAAGTATGAGTAAAGGTGTCAAAGCCTCCAGATATTAGAATGCAAAGATAACGTTGAGTTCTTCAATTTATATAGGGGAAAAAATGATAGAAATTTTCACCAAGTGACCCATGTGCACTGGCAACACACAGTTAACAGGTGCTGCACCACAAATAACACCTACATGCTTTCCCATTAATGTCTCAATATGGTAGATCATACAGTCAAACAGTAGTTGCAACAATCAACATTATGCTCCCCATTCCATCATAACAAAATTGGAGACTTGACTTACAGGAGATGCACCGGAATCACAAAGAAAGGTACCAACCTAGTTCATAGTAGAAGTCACCAATCCCTAGCAGCTCCGCCCAGAAACCCTTATTTGAGGCTAAGGGATCTACTCCAACTTTAGCACACATCTCATGGAACTGTGACCTGAATGCAGGATTCTTGCGTATGTCATTCTGCAGCAATAACATCAACATAAGTATATTTTTTAATCACTAAATGCTGAGCATATTATAATGAACATCTTAAACTGCCAAAAAATTCAATTGGGTGACCTGTTGTTTTTTATACCAATTCCAAATCTATCACTTCATAGTGAAACATTTCAATTCAACAAACCACAAACATCAATATCTCCCTATTTATGACTATTATTAGTGACATGAAGATGCTTGCAAGACAATAGACACACAGAGTCAAATTCAAGATGAGACAAGCAAAACCCATCACACTCCTTAATTCTGAGGGAAACTAATCAGCAAGGATGTTAAAAGATCCTACCCAATTCAATTGGCCCAATTCAGAATTCATGTTTCACACAGTTCAATTCAACTGAATTCCTATAATTCAAATTAAGAAAAAAACATGTTTCCAGCAAATCTTTCTTAACCAAAAATTTGAAAAAGTTCTCAAATTCAGATCATGAGTTCACCCACTTCATTAGAAGCTGTCTATTGGAATTCAATATCAACCAACCAATCTTGGGAAACTAAACGAGGTTTTGTTTCAGTGATTCGATCAGAAAAAATTCGAATTCCACTGCCTGACTTCGACTGAATCTATAATTCAAATTAAGACAAAAGCATGTTTCCAACAAATCTTTCTTAACCAAAAATTTGAAAAAGTTCTCAAATTCAGATCATGAGTTCACCCACTTCATTAGAAGCTGTCAATTCGAATTCAATATCAACCAACCAATCTTGGGAAACTAAACAAGGTTTTGTTTCAGTGATTCAATCAGAAACCAAACTAATCATATTATCAAAAACAGATAAAATACATAAAAATAAATAAAGAGTGGACCTTGTGTTTGCGAGCAAAGTCTTCCAACTGAGAGCGAAAAGTCGCAAGCTGTTCTTTCATAAGATCAGTTCTCAACTTCGCTACATTTTCTCCGAGCAACCGATACTGATCCTGAAATCATTACACAATTCACATATATACAACAAGAGTGATATATATATATATACACATATGAATATATGTATAATGACATGAAAAAAGTAGATTCTAAAAACACGAACCCTAGCTGCGGCGGCGGTCTGTAAACCACCAATTCCAGGTCTTCGCCTCATTCTTCTTCTTCTTCTTCAATTTCAATCTGAAAAGGCAACAGATTGGGGATCAGAGAAAAAACTGAGTTTGCAAAAAATGATTGGCACACATGGTGATGCATATCTATCTCATTACCGATTGATCAGAATTGTTTGCCTGAAGATTCACAACAGTTTGGGGGTTTCCATGTATAAACCTTCTGCATATGAATCGTCCTTGACATTCTGCGGGCTCATATAGTCCGACCCGATCTTCCAAAATACGGGCCGGGCTATTTTTTCAGTATGCTTTTGGATTAAAATTTACAAAATAAGTTAAATTAGTTGGTAAAACAAAATGTCATATCAAATTTATAATTATTTTTTTTATTTATTTTTTAAGTATTATATCTAATTACAAAAAAATTTAACTATCTTTTTAAATATAAATATTTTAATTTACTAAAATATTCGACTTCTTAAATGAGACCTTTAATTCGACTTAGCCTCCGTTTGAGAAGTAGGTTGGTTTTTTAGCTTTTTGGCTTTTTTGAGTTTTTTTGTGAGAGAAGAATGTAATGATTATGGGTTGGATGTGATGTTTTGTTTGTTATGACTAAAATAGGCTATTTTGTTTTTTGTGGCTAAAATAGCCAAAAAAAACCTGCAAACCTACTTGCCAAACACAGACTTAATTTGGTTTGATTTGTTAAATAAATAAATAGTAAATGAGATCGAGATTAATTTTTAAACTAATTTAATAAATTGATTGCGTTTGACGTAATAAAAGTGTTTGGCCTAATTTTAGCATGAGTAAGGTCTTGTTCGGATGGATAGTTACTATTTTAGCGTGTTTTTTAGATGAGGGTTAATATTTTAATTAAAAAGTTCAGAAAATTACATCTCAATATCACATTTTCAAAATAATTATAGATTTACGTAAAAATTTAACACTTTCATAAATTTTACCATTGATTTGAACTTTTTTTTTTTCCAAATTCACTCTGAATTGTTATTTTCTCAAAAAAATTTAGTTGATATAAAAAAAGTTAAAAATTCATTCCATTTATTCTATTTTTTACTTCTTTTTGTAAAAATTAAAAAGCCATTTCTAAACATATTAATTTTTTTCGACTCTTATTTTAATCAAAAAACTATTAAAAAAGTCACTTCCAAACAACAACTAATGTTTAACAATTGACTTTTTAAATTTTATTGTATTGTTTTCAAAAATGTCATGCCATGTATATAAACTTAAAATCAATGCTTTTTTCACAAAAAATAAAATTAAAATTAAAATTGAAATTAACCATCATATTAGAATAATTTTAATTCAAAGTAAATTTTGAAAACATTCCACATGTATAAAATATAATCACTTTAACAAATTTATTCTTTTTATTGGGGCCACACATATTCAATGAGATTATTACAAAATGCATGATGGATTTTAGTCATATGGTGACGAGTAACAATCTCAATCAATTGGGGTGTCTATATGATAATATTAGTCACATAATTTCATCATATTTATCTTTAATAAAATGAATGAACTATTTTAAAATCATATTTATTGTCTAACTTTTTTAAGACAAATTATTTAATTATGATTGTCATCCCAATCAAACTCAACCCAACCTTATCGGCTTAAAATTAATCCCAATCTCTTAAAATGCAAGTTGGACTCAGGTGGCCTTCAGGCCTGATACCCTGCCTTAATAATTATCTTAGAATAATAATATACAATTGTAATTTTTATATATAATTCATATAAAATTTATGTAACTTGTCACCTTGCCTTCATTTTCCATCAAAACATATATAATTTTTTATCATTGCAAAACTAATGTGGTCAACCATGAAAAGAATAAGAAAAATTGAAAATAAGTGAAGTAAAGAAAATAATTGTAAGAACATGAAAGTACTAATGAGTGAAATTGTGTTTTGATGCAAGTCAAAATTATGACCTTATTTGCACTAATAGACTCCACTTGCAGCTCCATATTTTTACAGTTATTTTCTCTCTTTTCCACTTATTTGCAATTTTTCCAAAAGAATACCAATGAAAGCAACTTCAGCTTACGCTGTGTTTGGTTAAGGGAAATGGAAAGGGAAATGGAAATGAAAGGAAAATGAGAAAGAATTAATAGAATTCCAAATCCCAACTATGTTTGATTGTGTTGGTTATAAAATAGAATTGATGTCCTAAAAGGTCTCCTATTTCTTTATTTATTTCTCACCCCCTTTCTTTTCCCATATATTTTTTATTATAACCAAACATAAATAGGATTACATTTCTCATTCCTTTTCCAAATCCCACCCCAAAAACCCCAACCAAACACAGCATTAATGATGTAAATCGCTTCTGTATATTGAAATAAGAATTTAACTCCAAGCTGTTATACACAAGTTACATGCACCAAAATTGTCAGAGTCAAGCTCCAAATGTAAAACTGTATTAAAAATAAAAATAAAAATAAAAAGAAAAAGAAAAGAAAGGATGTAACTTTGAAATATTTCACTATGTATCCTACATCTATGCTGTTATGTGAAAACTAACCCACCACCAAGTAATGGGACAACAAAAAAAAAAAAAAGACCAAAAGGTGAAAAGACCCCTGTTTGGTACTCATACTCTATCTCATTTCAAGTTCAATGGCTGGTCACTACACTATGCTGATGTCCCTGTAGCTTGCTTTGGAATCAAAAATAGGAAAGCAATTGGAATGAAAGTACAAATGACTTGAATACCAATGCCCAGAAGAAGGTTGTATTGGAATGAAAGTACAAATGACTTGAATACCAATGCCCAGAAGAAGGTTGTCAAAAGAACCCGAAGAGATGTTTAGAGCCGAGGCCAAACCAGCCCCTACAAATGATCCCACTGTCGACCCAAAATTGTTTATTGACATGAAGAGGGCAAACAGAGTTCCTTCAATTCCAGGAGGGCAAAGCTGTCCCGATAAGATCAGAAACGGCATAAACCTGTAGTTTCAATGGAATTAGCATTTGTAAAATTCACAGCTACACCAAGAAGTACGGACACTTCTAAAAAGATGGCATTTTGTGTCAGACACCAACACGACACGACATTTATTGGACACACGCCTAAATATGTCCTACAATGTTTTTTAAAAAAATTCTAGACTCGGACACATTTCAAACACTCTGGGAACATATATGTCTATCGCTTAGACACATGTTTAGTGTTACAAGTTTGAATAAAATGACTAGAAATCTAATGATATAAGAAAAACAATATAAATTTATACTTATTCTCTTCCTTTAAACTTCAAAAGTTAGTGTTATACTACATTTTGTTATTATATTTAAATTGCATTTCATATACATGACATATCATAATTTTATGTTTATAAAACTGTATATATTTTGCAAAAATTTATGTGCCGTGCCCATGTCTGTGCTTCTTAGCTTCTATGTTTTTTGCATTCTGCCTGTCAAGTCAATGCATGCACAAGAACCCAACAATAATCAAATTGCAATTGTTCCGAGGCTAAAAAAGGCACATACTTGAATTGATTAATTGCATCAGCAAGAGCAGACCCATATAGCACCATAACCTTGTCTGATATGCCAAATGCAGCATTTTTTCGAGACACTAAAACCATATCTAGAATACTCAAGAAAGCCAAGCCAACATGAGTCCACCTGCATCATATTTTCATAAAAGAAAAAAACATCAATCAGCAAACAGATTAGAAGATAAAGCAAAAATATACTAATGATATATACAAATTTTCTACTTACATGAGGATTCTTCGTAGTTTCACATTCTTTAGGTATCGATTATAAATGAAAGTTCCAAGCATGAGGCCCAGCCACCCAATAACACGTGTTGTTCCCAAAAAGGATGCTTCCAAGTTTAAGAACTCTGTCTGGTAATAGAACATGACTGTTGAGAGGTTCGGGACAGTCACATGTGCTATGAAAAACCAACTCATTGGTCTGGGCTTTTCAAAAGGGAATTTGAGGGGAAACTAATCAGATTAGACTAAATAAACAAATCCATAGAAAATAAATTAAAAAATAATAATAACAACACATGGTATAGGCCAATTGGCCCCAACTACAACCAATTATAAAAATGCACATAAAGAGTGCATTGTCACATCATGTTAGTTCCATTCCAAAACCTCAGATTAGACAACACAATTCAAAGATCTCAAACAATTACGAACATTGATGCATTGTCCTAATAAGAGTGGTGATTGAAGGCAGACAAGTTGACAAGTGATTCTCAATTGGCATAAAAAGATTAACCAGCAAAGTTCCACAAAATTTCTCACTAGTTACCTCAGAATGACTGGCTGTCTGAAAGCCTGTAACAAACTATAACTGGCCGTCTTCAGAGATTTGAACCATTTTGATATAAACAAGCCATCACTTTCTGTTTTTTGGAGTTTGCTTGTGATGACCGACCTCTTTTTACTGTTCTTCCGATTCTTCTTTCTCTTCGAAGTACGGGTTTTGGAATTCTCAACTGAGAAATTGTCTACATCCAATCCATTAATGTTTCCATTTGCCACATGGGAACTATCTGAAGCATGAACCTCAGGCAAAACTTTACTGCCTGCAAACTTATTCTCTTTGACCAAACCACATGAAAACAACTGTATGGCCGGAAGAACAGAGAATAGAAGAAAAATATTCTCTATCTGTATATTCGTTAATGCATATCCTCCCAACAAACTCCCACAGATGCCGCCCAAAGCCATCGCCATCCATGATATTGACTGGAGATCACCAGCAAATGAGGCCCTGATCATGGGTAATTGTAAAATGTCAACTCATATTCTATTCTCTTAAACAAAAGATCAATACATTAAATCAGCTGTAAGACACACTTTGCACATAAAAGACAAGTGTGAACCATGTGGGAGATCCACACACACATAGAAGACACAAACATAAGGTATTGCCACTTCATTTCAGGTGGGTCGACTTGAAGGGTTAGATCTCACAGTTGGGCCAATCATGAAAATGCAAAATATAATGCTCTTGAATCAAAGATGAAAAAGCCCTTCGGCCTTCGTGAAGCTTAGGGTTGCTCATTAGCCTAAGCCCATATCTGTTTTTACATTATATCCAACACTTCGACCACAACAGTGCAAATTAAAAGCTGAAAACTATACTAAAAGTCTACTGATTCTTTATAATACCTAACTAGTTACAATAAAATGCAATACTTATGTTCAATAATTGCAAGACACCAACACCCACATCAACTGTTCGGTAGCTCACACAAGTCAGGACTTGCATTGCCCAAGTTCAGCTTTTGAAGCAATCAAACTTCAAATTTAAGAGCTTAATCTTGGTTGGCTTGGTCAACAAACAAGTCTATCTAATCTCCTAACAAGATTTGAACCCAGCAGCTCAAGAGCAGCTCAGTTCATCAGTTCGTGCAACAACCAACTGCTGCAGTATCTCATATTGTTGACAGACTGCATGCTACAGACTGGCCAATATGTAAACCAGAATTCATATATACATAACTGTAAGTGATTATTTAATGAACATACCGCTCAACCCTTACTGCCTCAGCTATCATTGCATCAACCACAACATCGGCCATTGCAGAACCTAGGTTTTGCAGAGTTAAGAAGATCATGAAGGGCATCTTGGAACTCCTTAGGGCTGAAACTTGGCCCAAAATGAGCCACGGAACAAGAGAGAGCACTGTTGCAATCATCAGATATGGAACCCTTTTTCTGCCTCTAATTGGGATACAATCAGACAAGATACTGCACAGAGGACACACATTCAAATTACAGTTCGAAGAACAAAAATATGAACTATAATGATGAATAAAGAATGGTCTACTCAACACAAATTTCATGCTATAAACACCAATTGACAGCCCACAGGAATTAAAATCTCATGAGGTGAACTAGCAAAATTTTTCCCTGGAAGGATTTTAAGTGTGCTGGCAAAAAATTTTACTCACACATCCACATATGCAACTGTCTTATGGCCAACTGGTTCTCTTGAAATTCATTATTTGATGCTTTCTTAAGGCAAGCTTGAATGTATTCTTGAAATGTCATCATGTTTTTTTTTTGGTCCAAAAAAGAAAAGGAGGAAGAAGAAGAAGAAGAAGAAGAAGAAGAAGAAGAAGAAGAAAGAAGAAAAGAAAAAAGAAAGAAAGAAATGACGTTGTATTATAATAGTTTACATACCAGTATGTTGTTTCACCTATCATTTGAAGATTCCATGTTGATGATCATATTTACAATTTCAAGAAGAAACATCACCACATCACTTCAAATATATTTGTGTTGAATCAAAATTTTTGCAGCTATTCCATATTTTTCCTTCAGAATAATGGCTTGCGTCTTCAAGTACTAAACTACTATGTGCACAAAGAGACAGACAAATTGATGGATGGTGAAATGCCTCAGTTTTTCACAAATTTAATATAGTGTATGTATCAGTACTTATATCTAGAGTGTATTTTGCAGTGGTATGTGCTGAAGAGTATTCATGGAATATAGGAGATACTACTTAAAGGACCCACTTCTATTTCCAAAATTAATGGACGTATAAATTTCCAAATTGAGCAGTTCCAATACAGTAAAAATCAAATACATACCCATATAACGGTTTTATGCTCCATGGGAAAAATGCTATTGAAGACACAAATTGAGAGGCTGAGGGTGACAACTTAAGCCTATCTTTCAGCTGGTACGAAACTGCTGTCCACACAAAAGACCTGAAACCCTATTCACACATATGATAAAAGGTAAGCAAGAAGAATTTGAACAAATGAAGAGGAATTTAGAGAAACAGAAAGAGAAAAACACCATAGAAAGCAACGAAATATTCTGAAAATGCCTTAAAATGTTACTCGATATGATAGAAAGAATTCCAGGCTGGACCACAAGCAATTGTCTCTCAACATAATTTACATTGGTTTTTTACGACTGCACAACGTTGACACCCCAATTTGTTCATACCTATTATCAATTGGGGAATAATCCAAACCAACAAAAAACTTTCTAAATGTTTCTAGACTTGATAAGACTTACAAAAGGCCTCCAATAATTTTCATTTGACCAAAATGGAAAAATATTGAAGTCAATAACTGAATTGTTTTGAAAAGAAGGTTGATATCCTTGATTTTTGTGCTCCATATATTTCATTTTTCAAATTTGGTTTGACCAACTTTTCATATTATGAAATGGCTTTCTAACCATATAGAATGGTACTTAATCCAATTTTAGGTGAAAATGTTATGATAATTTTACAAAACTCACTCTTGTTTCGACCTATCAAGAGTAAAATAGTCATTTCCAATACTAGGAGTTTGGTAACCAGAGCCTAATTGGAAATGGAACCAAATTTCTTAAGATTTCCAAGGATATATGACACAAAAATCTGAGGTTAGAAAAGCCCATGGCACATTCCGAATTTGACTAGTGAAGCAAGCCTTTGTACACAACTGTAGATGCATGTTGATTAAAAATTTTCCCTGAAGATCCAAAACAAATCTGATTTTAGTCATTTCAGGTACAGTTGCCCATACCAGGACCATGTGGGACAGTATGGTCTTTCTATATACATCTATAGATGCGTACATACCAAAATTGATCTTTACACATTTATACATGTGTGCCCTTGGGCACAAAAATATTCTATAAATACCAGAGGCCTTCTCCAACTCAGAGAACACATTTTTTTGCCTTAAGCCTTGAGGAAACTTTGTTCTTGTGCTCTCTCAAACTCTCCCTAGCCATTTTTATTCCTAAAAATCCATCTTTTCTAAATTAAAAACCTCCATTCCTTAGTCTAGAAACCCCTACTTGGGATTACCAGAGGATATGTAGCCTAGAGGCTAGAGTAGAGGGATGTCAAGGTTGCTTGGCCTTAGAGAAAGATGCTTTGACCAAGACACGTGACAACTCAAAGGACGTATCATACCCACCACTCTAATACATCCCTGAGGTTTAAAATAGCTACCCATTGCAATCTCATGACACAACCACCAATATTTGATCATGGGCACAACAGGTAGTCGGGGAAAACTCCCAGTTGTCAAACTAAGGGAGGGGTTGAGCCACCTGTCCCCCCAGCACAACATTGAGTGGGCCCCTATGATTCAACTCCCCTCTACAAGAGACCTCTCCATGCATGCAAGATACACAGGCTCCCTTCAACAAGATCAAAAGTTCTCTCCCTCTCAATCACTACCCTCTTCTTCTAGAGTTGCCTCAGCTCTCACCTCCTCCACCCCTGATTGTCCCTTGCCATCTTAGTGCCTACGTTCTTCACAGAAGCTAGAAGGCTCCCACTCCAGCCAATTGATCCCAGATAACAAAAAGTATCACTTGGATACCAAATGAGTAACTTATGTGACATAAGAAGTCTACCAATGTATGCATTGCACACCCTTTTTCTTTTTCTTTTTTGCCCTTTTGGGCATCCATCTCGACAGCTAATTTTGAAATCGATTATATCCATGAAAAATTCAATATTTTTCAAATATCTTTTGCTTAGTTTATTATATCATCACAAAGCCTGAAGAGAAATTAGAATTTTTTTCCCCTGCTTTTAGCATTTTGTTGCATTTTTTATTTCACAAAACCCAATTAACTTGGCTATATAGAAACAAATCCCTACAAAGATAAAAATTTGATTCAAAATCTTAGCTAGAAGATCACCTATAAAAAATAAACCTGATTGACCCAGAATCCCAAAACAACAAACCCACATTCCAAAAGTCTCTCCGTCACCCAAAACCTCGAAATAAATTCAATTCAAATGCCTTAAAAAAAAAAAAATTAAAAAGCGTCGATCATGACAGGAATTGAAAAGAGAAATGCGATTGTAGAGGAAGAAATCAATAGAAATAGATCTGGGAAGAAAGAAAGAGGGAAAATGGAACCTGGGTGAAGTAAATCAAGCAGACGAGCCAAAGAAAAGAAGTCCCGAATGCGATTCGCATCCGTTGCAAATACCGTATCATCGTGTTTGGATTCTAACGCCACTAAAAGCTGGTTTTCGCGCTTCAACCCAGATTGTGCTGTGTTTCTCTGTGTGTGTGTGTCGCTTTTGGGTCTTCTGGATCGAAGAGAGAGAAGAATGGGGATTGTGGAGAGTGCGTTCTCCGAATTCGGGGGAACATCCATGCCACAACTCTTTTTAAACACAACTCGCTTTTTTCAACGGTTTATTGTTCTTTGTCTGACCAATAGGACAAACAATAATTACTCCAAAAAAAAAAAAAACTAATTAGTATAAAAATTACTATATAATTTTATCTTTAAATTTTTATTAAAATTTAAACTTAAATAATGAGATGATGAAATGAATGAAATAATTTTGAAGGAAAATGCTAAGAGTTATCTTAGTGTTGAATAATATCTATAAAAAGTATTAAAATATGTACAATACATATATATATATATAAATATTTTGGTAATATGTAAAATATATATTATAATTATAAATATTTTGGAGTATAAGATCTCTATAAATCTGAATCACTCATGATGTAAACTTTACACATACATAAATAAACCCCACATATATATGAAGGATCAGAATCACTAATAGTGTGTTTGGTTCAAAGATTTGAAGATCCAAAACAAGCGACTAAAATATGTACAATATATATATATATATATATAAATATTTTGGTAATATGTAAAATATATATTATAATTATAAATATTTTGGAGTATAAGATCTCTATAAATTTGAATCACTCGTGATGTAAACTTTACACATACATAAGTAAACCCCACATATATATATATAAAGGATCAGAATCACTAATAGTGTGTTTGATTCAAAGATTTAGAAAGAGAAAGGAAAAAGATGTTTGAAATTAGATAAAATATAAATATATTTTATTTACATTTTACTTAATTTTTCTCTTTTTTTTTTTTAAATTTATCAACTAAACACAGCACAAGGGTGTGGAGGTCATCAAAGGAGTTTCAAATATTTTTCTAATATTTTGACATAAGAATCAATAATTTTAAATAAATAACATTTTGGGAAAGTTATTCGCGCCAAACTTTGTTCTCATATTCGGCCATGTCACAGGGGCCATATATTGCTTGACACGTGGCACAATTCGCCACTTGGACCAATCATATCAAAGCTCCACGCACACGACCTCGTCATCATATTTTGTAATTTGGATATTGTAAAAAACTTCCATAACTGTCCATTTTGGGATACAGTTTCTCATCTGTTTATTGGATCATACTGTTGAGTTTATCGGACTTACAAATATTTAAAATTAATAATAAAAAACTGTATGTAGATTATTTATATAATAAAAATAGTAATCTGATTCAACAATTATAATTATATAATTTGATCACAATTGTTTCGTAAATATATCTTCAAAATTATATATTTTTATTTATTTGATAATGAATTATATAATTAATATTATCAGATCAATTATTTATTTATTTATGGATAAATTGAACGAATGCATATAGATTGTTATATGCCTTTACTTTCAGTCAATTAAATTTGAGTTAGTGAGCATAATCACATTAGATTGTAACTACATCATTAGTCTTTTAATTTTAGTAAAATCCTATGTATTTGTAAAGAGGGCTAGTAAGTATTTTGATTATCTATGTATTTTATAAAGTCCCGCGGCAGGATGTTAAACCAATTCATAACCTAGCCAGATCCGTAAACAATTTTCCTACTTATTATTTTGGTTCTCAAAAAAAAAAATAAAAAACCTCCATCAATTTATATTCTACACTTTCAAATTTTGTTTCAATATAATCCAATTATTAGTTTTTTTTTAATAAGAAAAAGAATGTTCTGTGGTGTCATCACGGCATCCGTGGGCTCAAGCCCCTGGATAACCGGTTGCTAGCCTGACTTAGCTCAACCCATAAGAAAAGACCCACCACCGAGGCACTAGTGAAACTCATTAACCATCCGTTCGATCGGAGTACAGCACAAAGGTCTAAAAAAAACTACTGGAAAATCCAACGTTTTCGCACTCCCTGGAGTCGAACCCAGCTCATTTATCCAATTGTTAGTTGCCGTTAACAATTTGGACACAAAAATGAATACGAAACTAAAGAGACCAAACTTTAAAATATATATATAAACACTATTATAATTTGTACATTTTTATTTATTGTACGAGAATTGTTAAAATTCTCATGTGAGTTACACGTAACATTTTAATCAAATTAAAATGTAATTAAAAATTTAGAATTTAAATTGATAAGATTGAAACTATAAGAACATCATAGGGAAGTAAGGAAAACAATTTACAAACAAAAAATCTATAAATAATGTGACAATGACAATCTTAAAAATGTAAGTCCAATTGATGAGCTTTTGCTTTTAAAATGATACCACATCATTCTGAATTAAAATTCTATAAATATATATTTTTTTGGTATTCAAAATTAATGAGCAACATGAAGAATAAAAACACCCCCAAGTGATTCTGTAACATCCAAATAACAAACAACCATGCTCTCTTCACAAGAAGCAAAAATCTCATCACAGAAAAGCTATCAAAACCCTCTGAAATGACACAAAAAATTGAACTTGCAACAATCATAGCCATTTATTCTTCATAAACTAGTCTCCACTAAGTATAGGTTTGCAAATTTTGACAATGAAACTATGAAGTCATAGCACAGACCTATAGGTCAAGCCAAAATATGTACAAAGACATTTTGTTGGTAGCCAAACAAGCACAAACTTACAATAAATATGACCTAATTTGTATTTCATCTTCACACATGTTTCAGATATAAGTACTATATAGCAAAGGCATAACATTTAAAGACAGTAAGTTGGAACATCGGCTGGCTGATAGACAAAAGGTCGAACGGTGTGAGAATAACCCGATGGGTGATTGTAACCAAACTTCACACCGGAATTGCCGTCTCCCAGATGAACGCAGTGTTCGTGGAAGCTGCTGATAGGTCTTGCCAGGCATGCATCCCAACGGTCACTTTCTGGCATCGTCTCCGCCACTGTGTAGATCCCTTTAGAGTTTGTGAATGCCTGATAATTTAGAACTTCGCCAGATTTTGTTATGCAAAGAACAGCCACCTCAGCACCTGCCCCGAAACAACCAAAAACCACCCCGTCAGAACGTATGCATACAATAATACAAGATATCATGACTTAATTGGTGCATTATTATTTATTTATTGTTGATTTATGGGTTATTTTGGTGATTCAGATAACAACATTTCAGCGAAGAAACATAATCGGTCCATTTTATTCTTCCAGAGCAACTTAAGGCACAAGGCAACCACAATGATGAAGTGAACATGTGATAAAAGTATAGCAATGAACAAACCATTTCATTGAGGTTATCAGTGCCGTATTGTAGACAAAATTTAATAATTCTCAATATTGATTATACCACCAAGTTCAGTCTAATATCTACATCCATAAATTTTGAAGCAATAACCTTAAACCTTATCATCGGCAAAAATATTAATAAAAAAAAAATCTCCATTTTGTTATTCATAGCAATTGAAGGCACAAGGCAACCACAAAGATAAGGTCAATACATCAGAAAAGTATAGAAATCACCAAAAATAAGAAGAACAAAAAAGGTTAATCATTTATTTTTCTTTATGATTGTGGGCAGTTGAGGTTGCCAGGGGGGATTTGGGAACGTGATAAGCATTAAGCTAGCATGAGACGACCGGAGGTGGAGAAGGCAAGAGGCAAGGGAGCAACAAAGAAAGGGTGGCAGCGGAGAGAGAGCTCTTAAGCTTGCCAAAGGGAGACTGAGGCTTGCTTGTGTTGTACAGGCATGGGGATGACCCTTTTATAGGAGAGTCGAACCATGGAGGACAGCCACCCTGGACAGGTGGCTCGTACTCCTCATTCCAACAATCCAGATGTTTCAACTACCCATTTCCATGATCAGGTCTTGGGAGATGTGTTATGAAGATGATCAGATGACAGTGGATAGGTATGATATGCATCAGAGGGCGTATCACAAGCTTTACAGACATAGGTATGATACGTTGTCCGAGATATCACTTCTCAGTCAAAACCCCTCTCTCTAACATTGGTCAAGGTAGGGCCTCCATGTAGGGGTGGGCCAAGCAACCCTGACAATCCGTTGACTCCAGCCTCCAAGCCACATTCCTCCAACAATCTCAAGTGGATGCCCTAGGCCCTGCTTCCAGTGTAGGTGGGATATCTGCACGAAAGCCGCTTGTCCAACAAATGGAAGAGGTGCTAGATCATTGGGATCAATAGAGAGGCGATAAGGTCGCACTAGAAACCGATCAGTACGGATTGACCTGTGGAGCTAAATGACTACATGGCGGCTTATCAGTGAGAGCGATCCAGAGAACTGAGCAGCCATCTGGCGATTGCTCAGTTAAGACAAACGTGGGGCTCGAACTTCCATTTGGTGGCTACTGGATGAGGACGAGCTATTGTCCTGGTGACTAGGTATTGCATGAAGCCGCCTTCGTCTACCACCTTGTGCATGAGCAAGGTTTTTTTTAAATTATTTGAATGTTTATGTTTGTCTTCTTAACAATTATGAAAAATCATAGGTTGCATTTGGAAGAATTTTAGAATTATGATTTGATAATAGAGTTGTATTTGAGTTTATGAGTTTTGAAATTATGATTTGAGTGTGGAAAATTTGTTTGGTTATGAATTTTGAAAAAAGTTTTGAAAAAAAATTTGAATTGAGTTTGGAATAATTAATGTGACATATGATATTTGATTAAAAAACTTACAATTCATAACCAAACACACAACCCAAAATTCTATTCAAAGCTTATAAAAAAATTTAAAAATTTTGAAAAATATTTTCTATTTAATATATAAAAAATAAGAAAAAATTACCCATAAATCCTATTCTGAAAAAAGTTAAACCATTTAGTCCCTTAAGTTTTCTTGTATACCATTTAGTCCTAATGTATTACCAGTTTTTGAGGGTGTGATTTGATTCTATTTATTTTTACATCAATACCCTTTTACATCAATAACTGGCCAGATCTTAAACCAGATGAGTTTTTCAGAGGCTTCCATGGCGGAGGAGGGTTTGTAGCGAAATGGCTCGTCCACGGTCGATGATCTCTCTGTTGTTGTTGTTATTCATGCCTTGCTTTGCGTTCGAATCGATAGGGTACGAACCACAAGAAGAAGAATGGGAAGAGTTCTCAGAGGAATTGCTGTTGAAGCCATTGCCAGATCGCAAGGTTCTAGCCCATTTTCACTTCCAAACCAGAGTTCCACCTTCGGAATCGCCTCAGATTTGAGATCTGAAACAGCCGCGGATGGTTTGACTCATAACACCCTCCACATGTTGAAGCAAGACAAATAGTTGTTCCAGATCTGAGATCTGTTTCTGAAACAGATATGCGAGAGGAAGGAGGGATCTATTTCCCAGTTTCGAAAAACTGCAATGATACACGTCACATAGATCGGATCCAACTCGATTCAACTTTGTGCTCATTGTACTACCGGTTCTCACGATCTTTCTCCTCTTGCTGACTCACGCCACCGCCAATATACTGTTTTTGGTCTTGATTGGAGTTGTTCTTGTTTTGATTCACGCTGCTTTGATGCTTTGATGAAGATTGATGACTTGGTCTTTGATGAAGAGGTTGACGGAGCTAGTGCGATGTGTAATTTTTCACGATGTTTGTTCCGAATGTTCTGACGTTGATGTTCAATGTTGACGATGTTGTGATGTTTGATGATGTTGATGTGTTTGATGATATTTGATGTTTTAATGTTTGATGTTGTTGATGTTTTTGTTTTGTTGATGTTTGTTTGGAGGAAAAACAAATTTTTACAGAGTTTTGGGCATTTCAGTCAATACCATGTTGGGGTTTTTTTCATTTATCCTTACTAAAAAGCGTAAAACATAGTGTAACACTGGTTAATTTGTCATTAACATTAGTTTGGGACTAATTGGATCATAAGATAAAACATAGGACCAAGTGGATCATAAGATAAAGATTTGGGATTTATTGGTGCATCGCCCAAAAAATAATAGATGCCAATTCTCAAAAAAAAAAATAAATAAATAAAAATTTACAGTGTTCCAGTCAACCGGCCGAAGGTCCAGGAGGAGGATTAGGTAGGCCAAATTTCAAAATTCAAACCCCGCCTGAAACGAGTTTTCAAAAGTGATGTAGAAATAATTTTTGAAAGTTCTAACCAAACATCATACTCAAAAAAGGGTGTGGAATCATGATTTGAACTCCACACCAAACACAGTCATAAGTATTTTTTCTATATAACCATATAGTGCATATGCCTTTACATCTTCATATTTATTTTCCAGCAAGAAGAATTGGATGTACAACTAAATACCATCATATCATCTAAAACTTTAAAAAAATACTGTTTGGCACAGTGGTTCAATGCATGTTGCCCCTCCTTTGGTATGAAGTTTGAGCCCACGTGCCAACAGTCAAGGATGTTTTATAGCCATCCAGCTTGCTTCCATTGATGGATGCACTCTGATGTATTACTGTCTACCATAATTGCTAAACAATAACCCTGTACAGTTAAGAAGCACGGACACGGATATGGATGTGGATATGGACACGGATGCGGACACAAGACATGTCGATTTCAAAAAAATAGAAACACAAAGACAGTGGGCTAATAAAATATGTTTTCATATATTTTTATTTGCTATCTAGATTAATATTACATCCACAAACAATCAATATTAACAAAAACTAACTCTAATTCTATATTATTTTTTTTTAAATGTATTTTTAAATTAACACTTACAGTTTATATTTTTTTTTATAGGTGATCTATTAAGTATTTAAATCTAAGAAAAAAATAATAATAAACACTCAACATCCAACATTCATCAAAAATACTAAAGAAAATGAGGGAAAAGACAAGTTGGCTTGTCCCTAATGTGTCTCCAAAGTATTCCCAGCATATCCCCTGAAAATAAATTAATTAAATAAGGAGACGCGCCACATGCATGTCTCTGCTGTGTCCCCGAAGTGTCCGTATGTTTGACACGGATATGACACTTGTTTTGAACTGTCGGTGCTTCATAGTTGTACAACCACACACAAGGCTGCCTACTAGAATCCAATGAAGCAGACATCCTGATTCCACACATTTAAAACATGAATTTGGATTTCATATTGGTCTTAATAACCAATTTGTGAGTTGGGAACAACTTTTCTACCTACATGAAATGATTAGGTCACTTGGCATGGGATAACCAAGCCCATCCACTGTTCACATCACAGTACTATGAAAGTCAAAAGTGATGCAAGTGTTCATGTGAGGAAGCAAGCAGGGACATCAAACACTACAACTTTGCAACTTAGGACCACAAAACTACTTTAGAACCGGTTATCCTGTAAAATTGTAGCGCTAGCACATATTAATCAGATAACAGCAGCAATGGTCCTCCCCCCACGCCCCCCTCTTCTTCTTTTTCCTTCCTTTTTTAGGAGGTTATGCTGTTGAACTGCTTGCCACATTTAGTTGGCTAAGACTCATATGAAGTGGATACTCTGATCATAGATTTGTGTTCCTCATGCACAACTCAACCTAAAAAGAAAGCCAGAAAATACCAAAAGCAATCCATATGATGGCAGAAACAAGTGCAGTACATGCACAACCTTTGGCCTGACCATATCATGTACCTTACAGTACGAAGTCTCTCAGATCAATAGTTTGCATAGCTTTCCAGCATTATGTCCAATAAGCTTGTTTTGCCTCGCCATCAATGACAAATTTGCTTGTGGGCATACATGCACGAGTCATGCTGTGAATGTGGGAAAGATAGAATCTAATACTCTTAATCATGCAATTTTGATGTCAGTGGAGAATACCTTAAAAAAAGGTTTCCAGCAGAAAATTTTGAAAAATGACCTACACATCACTTTCTCTTAATCAAGATGTAACAATTTAGAGAGCCTCCACACAACAGCCCTTGGACTTGGGGGCAACAAAATTATTCAAATTCCAGATTGTGAAACGGAGAAAGGGTAACTCATATAGATTGGTAAGACAAATGAATTTGGGTCAAAGTCATGGATGAAAGCACATTAATGCAGTGCTTGGTCAAGACAAAAACAATACCAAGTCCTCAACTTCTGTATACTAAAGATTTCATTGCTTCAATTGACAATACCAAATGACTTCGTCTCCAATTAGTTCTTACGTTGATGTTAAAGCCTTATCATTTACATTAAAAAAAAAAAATTAGGGTTATTAAAAACCAATCCCAACTGAAGTAATTGAGTAACTCTTGATTGGGATACATGTTGAAAATGAAGTATATATGCAAAATAGATCAGTCACTCAAATTACAACCCAGCATGTAAAGCAGACAAACACGATAAATCGCAATTAAAAAACATAAAATTGAATCAAATCAATCATAATACTGACATCTAGGTTAGTTTTTCCAATCACGATATCAATCAATTCAATCCAAAAAAAAATTACAACAGAAACAGAGAAAGAGCACAAGCAGGCATACATCAATTCAACAATCAAAATAGGCAAAATTAGCAGAAACCCATGATTTTACACAAAAACCCAATTCATAAATTTGACTGAAGAACAAGTAATTCCATGAGAGAATATAAAACTGAAGCAAATCAATCATTACATCGACATCAAGGTTAGTTTTTCCAATCAAGAGGCAACATATCAATCAATTCAATCCAAGAAAAAATTATAACAAAAACAGAGAAAGAGTACAAACAAGCATACATCAATTTCAGCAAGCAAAATAGGCAAAATTAGCAGAAGCCCACGATTTAACACATAAACCCAATTCATAAATTTGACTGAAGAACAAGTAAATCCAACAGAAACCCAATTCATAAATTTGACTGAAGAACAAGTAATTACAACAGAAACCCAACACATAAATTTTACATCGACATCAAGGTTAGTTTTTCCAATCACAATACAACATATCAATCAATCCAATCCAATCCAAGAAAAAATTACAACAGAAACGGAGAAAGAGACCAGCAGTCATATCAATTTCAGCAATCAACATAGGCAAAATTATCAGAAACCCATGATTTTACACAAAACCCCAATTCATAAATTGGACTGAAGAACAAGTAAGAGAGAGAGAGAGAGAGAGAGAGAGAGAGTAGTGACCTTCTAAAGCGTGATCTTCAGGGCCAATAGAAGAGTCCCCACAGACGTCACAAACGACTCTGCCATGGATTTCACCAGTCCAAGCTCGAACGCCGCCACACATCATGAGGAGGAGGATTGTAGAGAGAGAAAGTGACAGTGTCATTTGGACTGAGACTCCATTGCTGAGTTTCAGCATCTTCTTCATCACACTTTTGTGATGAGCTCTCTCTCTCTTTCTCTCTCTCTGGTTTAGCTTCTTCGAGATACAGCTTTGTGTGGAGGTCAGGTTCCTCACCGGTAACCGGAGTATCCGGTATGTCTGGGCGTAGGCCGTCAAAACAACCCGGGAACCTGTTCCAACGAGGTGGCTCGGGTCAATTCGTGAAAAAGCGACGGTATGTAATTAATATATCAATTGACAATGTAATATAATTTTCAACAGTGATTTAAACTCCTCAAATTTCAACTCCTTACTCCACACACACGTTATGGGTGTTGATTGAAGGAGAAGAAAAAAAAAATAAAATAAAATAAAAAGTGACCAATCAAAGAAGAAAATGGATCAAAGGGGTGGAGAGAGAGAGGTCCTAATCTTTGTTCTATAATTTAAGACATTTTTAATATTTATAGTTTGTATAATAAGTGGAGGTCAATAATAATGTCATAATTAATATTAGTACAGTAGTTAGTATATTAATTAGTAAATGTAGCACTACTGTTCGTGAAAATAAATCAGAATATTTTGTTTCAGTTGTTTGAATTCAGTTTTTTAGAAATTAAATTTTTTATTTTTCGTATTATTTTGTTATTTTTAGTAAACAATTTTTAAATTTTAGATTATTTTTTTATTTTTTTATATACACCTTACTCAGGCCATTTCCAACGTTACACCAAATCCATCACCAAATTCAAATTTGATGAAAAAATTTCTTTTTTTGTACTTCAATAGTTTCATCAAACCTATATCAAATTGAGAATCTAAAAAATATTTCACCAAACTAAGGATATGGACCATCTTTTACTATTTTACTTTGCATGTCTGTTGAGGTGTGACCCATAGGACGATCGGTTGGATGTCCCCTAGTCATCCTCTTCATTTAACAATTCCTACAAAAATAGGTAACACAGAGTGTTGAAAAAATGGTTTGTGCAACTATGACTCTTGGCTAACTTTGAGCCTAAATTGAGATGGCCTTCAGACACCGATTAAAGTGTGTTCGGGTGGAAACGCGTTATTTGTCGGATGGTGATTCACTTTGTATATTTGGTTGTTCAAACCATTTTTCAAGTAAATGCGAAATTGACTCCAAAAGATGCTTCAGCAACACAGTAGTTAAATGAATTCAAATTGAATTCGTCTCTGGTTTCTTCATCGACAATGAGTTCACAAGCACCCAAATCTTCAAGATCAAACTTCATCAACAATGAACTCACATTCCCAAATTCAATCTTCATAACTTCCACCCTCATTTCTGATTCTTCATCAACAAAAAAAACCAGCCAACAATTAGTTTATAAGCACCTAAATCTTCAAGATCTTCAGAAACCCAAAACCAACCTTCAAGATCACCTTCCTCTTCGTGGTTGAACTAAAGCAAAGAATTCTCACTTCTCTCTCTAAACTCTCCGATAGAGATACCCACCAGATCACCATTGAAGACCTTGAAAAGATCATCTAAAACCTCTCTCCTAATGGCGTTTCGATGCTCCTTAATTACCTCTACGAATCCACAAACGACCTAAAACCCGTTGTGAAAAAAGAGTCTCTCCGCCTTCTCACCGTCCTTTGCGCTTTCCATGGCAATTCTACGGCAACCCATTTGACGAAAATCATTGCCCACATTGTGAAGAGGCTCGAGGACTTTGATTCGAGGGTTAGGGACTTGTGTCGCGATGCGATTGGGGCGTTTTCGTTGCAGTATTTGAAGGATGGAGGAAAGAATGGGAGGTCTTAGGTCGGTGGTTTCGCTGTCTGTGAAACCATTGTTTGAGGCTATGAATGAGCAAACAAAGAAAAAAGATTTTTCGAATTACTTTCCCGGTCGTCCTCTCAGTCGATCGGTATTTTGTTGATAGCCAAAAATATACCGTTGGAGAGCTGGATATCAGATAGGGGAATTTCTCAAACTTTTACTCAGATTTGGTGAAATATTTGATATACCGTTGGAGATGCCCTTAGATGTTTCTAAATAGTAAATATATCTGTAAAAAAATATTTTAAAATTTTAATAAATACACAAAAATACGAAAAATGTATTGAATTTTTATTTTATTTTATTTTTTATATTTTTGGTATTTAGTGAATTTTTTAAAGAATTTTTTTCACAAATATTAAACTTTTTAAATGTATTTATGTTAGGTGTATCTAAAAATTAAAAAAAAAAATTGCTTAAAATATTAAAAAAAATTTAGTAAAAATAAAAAAATACAGAAAATGAAAAAGTATAATTTTTAAAAAAGTGAATTATGAAAACTGAAACCAAACAAAGTAAATGGTAACGTTTGATTGTATTTTCAAATTGTGATTTCAATAAAAAAAAATTCAATTTTTTTTTCAAGATTCATAATCAAACACACAACTTAAAACTCAATTCAAAAACTATTTTTAAAACTTATAACCAAACACACAACTCAAAACTTAATTTAAAACTCTTTTCAAAATTCAAAACCAAATTCTTTTCAAAACTCTATTTAAAAATATATCAAAAAAATATTATTTTATTTTATTTTATTTTTTAAATTTATTTTTAGAATCATGATTTGAATATGGAGTCGTATTTTGAGTTATGAGCATAGTTTTGAGAATCGGATCGAACCAGCTGGTTCGACCAGTTGAATCGTCGACCGGCCAAGGTTCCGATCCGGATATACCCCCCAAACCGTTCTAACCTAAAAAGATCCGGATATACCCCCCAAACCGTTCTAACCTAAAAACCGACCTATTTAGAGAAAACCTGAAAAATCGACGGTTGGAACGCAAAACTGGGTGGGGGACGAGTCAAGTGAACCGGCTGGGCTGAATAAATTAAAAATTTTGTTTTGTTTTGTTTTGTTTTTATTTTATATTTTTTAACTATTTTTTTTATCTTTTCTTTCTTTTCTTTCTTTCTTATTATATTTATACACTAGTATATGCCCGTGTCTAAAGGTGCGGTGTAATTAATAATAAGATCAAAATATAATTGAGTATAAAATTATTAAGTTAAAATGTAACTTATTAAATTTGTTGCTAAAAATTTGAGGTAAAAATATAAATATAGGTCCGATTAGTTATCCAAAAATAAAAATATGTTGTCTTTGTTATTGAGGTGGCCTTTTTTAGGCCAAGTTTGGGAAGACTAAATAAGTGCACTTTTTAACTTTTTTTGTATTATGTGTAGAAAAAGTAGAGAGGGGATGTTGATTGATGTGACCCAAAAAAGATAAAAAGATGAAATAAGTGCACTTTTTAAGGTTAGTCACACTTGAGTCTTTAAACAAATTACACCACCCCCATAATCTCTCTTATCTTTCATTGGGAAAAGATTACATTTTAATAGTAAAACTAAACCACTTTTTTTTTGTTAACAGAACCTAATTTAAATTTTGAATTCAAATTTGTTCACCAAAGAAAAAAAAAACATTTTCCAAAAAAAAATCTTCCAATTATATTTTGATCTCATCATTAAGGGGTTGTTTGGGATAATTTATATAAGTGTACTTTTTGATTTTTTGGCTAAAAAAACAGTGCTGCTAGGTAGCTCAAAATTCTTTTGGCCAAAGTGGGCAATTTTTTTTTTTTTTTCCTTTCTCTATTCTCTCTGAAGAAGAAGAAGAAGAAGAAGAAGAAGAAGAAAAAGAAGAAAGAGAGAAAAGGAAGGCATCAACAACAACCAAAAAAAAAAAACATTGTAGAATCTAAACAATAACAACAAACAACACCACATCATCATCAACATGTTTTGGCACTTTTTTTTTTTTCCCTTTCTTCTTCGTATATGTTCTTCCTCTATTTTTTTTTGTTTTTTTTTTTCTTTTCTTCTTCCATAACTCACACAGATCTATACACAGATAGAGAGAGAGAGAGAGAGAGAGAAATAGTCTATACATACACAGATCTATACATATACACACACACAAATACACACACACACACACACAGAGATGTACATAGATCTATACAGATCTGTGTATACACACAGAGGATGACAGCGCCGGTGATGGCGTTGGTGGTAGCGCCGATGATGGATGGAGCCTCTCTCTCTCTATGTTCCTTCTTCCTCTCTTTTCTCTCTTTTCTCTTCCTCCCTTTGTTTCAGAGATATAAGAAGGGGGGAAAAAAAACTACCTAAAAAAAAAAAAAAGGAAAAAAAAAAAAAAAAAAAAAAAACTACCCAAAACGACGTTGTTTAGGGCAGTCAAGCCACTCGGGCCAAAGGAATTTTGAGCCACGAAATATTATTCCTAAAAAAATTAGGGAAAAAAGATGAGTATTTGGGATAACTTTTTGACTTTTTACGAAAAAAATGTGCATTATAATGTTGTAATAAATATACAAATTATCGTATTGCCCCTATGTCCTTATGCGTACTGACAGTGCCTCATGTGATGGCCAGTATGACTTGGTTTTTCAATGTGTGGTGGGACGGCTTGACCTGAGAAGATATATATGTACAAAGTTTAATATATATATATATATATATATATATTTTTGGGGTACATGTTTCCTGTTCACCAAACAAAAAAAGGGGGCATTTCAGTCTTTTTTTCCTCTGACACGTATTGTTGTTTTCCTGCCAAAAAAGTTGTGAATAGTATAAACTTTTTTTGCTTTTGTAATGACTTTTTAACTTTTTACCTTTTTTAGGTTAACCCAAACACCTATTAAATATAAATATTTCTAATAATGTTTCGTTTCTTAATAACCAAGCAACTTCAATTTTTTTATTTATTTAAATTTTAAAATCTAAATTTATTTAATATTGTAAAACATAAAATAAATTAGACTTTTATTTAATCTAGTTAAAAATAATTAAAATATTAAAGATATGTTTAATATTACTATTACTTAGTAAATAATTGAAAAAGATAAAATAATCATTTGAGCATTTAATCTTTAGTTATCCCAAACAAACATTGGATAACTAAAAATAGTTTAATCCAGACATTTAATCCCATGACTCTCAATCCCTCTTCTCTACTTTTTATTTATATATATATATATATATATATTAACTACAAAAACCCATAAATTTAGGGCATACTCTTCACTTTTAAGAGCATAAAACATATAAA